ATGCGTACTTTGTGTCGATAAAGTCTTATTATTCTCTGGGACCCACGGGGGGGCTAATCTATCAAGGAAGCTATATGCTAAGGATTGGGGAAGAACTGAAAAAGAAGTTTTGTTGAAAGCACATCTAAAACGCTTTATATTGTTCCATACTATTGTTGGATTGACGTTAGGTGAAATAGATGAACAGAAATTTTTCCAACCTTCAAATTTCTTTTTCTTGAATAATTTTTTAGTTTCTAATTTAAGTTTACAAAAATGTTCAAAGTTAGTATCTGACATGTTTTTATTATATTCTTTTTCCGCTTGTTTCCTTTTCCTTACAGCAAGAGTGCATTCACTGTCCCACCATGGAGGAGATGGAATTTTTTCTAAAGTATTTTTCACAGGAAATGTTTCATTAGCAATCTCTGTTATTAAGTGGGCCAAAGATTGAGCACATATTAGATTATTGTCACTGTTAACAGAGGGTAGAAGACATAGCTTAGCCTCAATCTTTTCTTTAAAGGAATCCCAAACCTTATTATTTTTAGTGTATTTATATTTTCTAAGGGATATCTTTTGTGGAATTATTTGTTGCTTACAAGGAAATTCAATAATTATTGGATAATGGTCACTACCATAAGTATAAGGAAGAGTTTCCCAAGATAGAGCAGAGGCCAGGCTTGGAGAACAAATAGATAAATCAACAGCGCTGGGATTTTGATTTGGTCCAGTTTGACGTGTGGGACTGCCTGTGTTAAGTAAACATAAATTATGCGAGTCAATAATATCTACCAATTCTCGACCCAGAGCATTACACTGAAAGCTTCCCCAGACTGTATGGTGACAATTAAAATCACCAAGAACTATAAATGGCTTGGGCAGATTAGAAAACAAAAAATCAAGTTCACTTAAAATGTAAGGTGAAGGGTGAGCTATGTACAATGATACCAAACAAAAATTATTAAAACTTATAGCTACAATTGATATATCATCAGGGTGAGGTGGAAGAGTTACACTTAAAAAGGGAATTGTATTTCTGATAAGTATAGCTGTTCCACCACCATCTGTACCTAGTCTATCATCTCGAACTATGTTGTAACCAGCAAAATAAAAGTTTTTTTGTGGTTTAAGCCAAGTCTCTGACAAAGCAAAAACAAATGGCTTGTATGTGTTGGTCAAATATATAAGTTCACTTCTTTTATTTATAATACTCTGAGTGTTCCACTGTATTATATTGCGTAGATCCATTATTAATTGTTAACATTAAATTTTCAAACAAAGAGGCAACGTTGGACGGTGAAATAAAATTATACTTAGCTAATACATTAAATAAAGCTGTTATTAACTCAATATGAGATTGATTGTCTTGATCTTGAGAAGGCTTTTGTATAGCACATCCATTAGCAGGTGTAGGGATTCTAAAGTCATTTATGATAGCATTATGTGCTTCTTTATTGTAACCCATATTGGTATGAGAATTATTTATATTACGAGGGTTTAAGAACACTGTTTTCTTATATGATGTAGTGGAAGATCTACTATTTTGAGATGTGTGAATATTATTATACAAAGGCGATTGAGGAATAGGCTTAGAAGCTACTATGTCTGCATATGATTTAGCTGCTGGAGGGTGAGCTTTGGAAGCCTCGGCATAAGACACACAGTTTTGAGCCATGAAAGTTTTAATTTGTTTTTGTCTCATAAATTCTGGACATACTTTACTAGTGGCATAATGAAAGCCAGAACACAAACAGCAACAGGCATCCTCTTCAACTGTACCACAAGATTCCCCAGTGTGTTCCTTGCCACATTTGTAACAACGGGGCTTAGATCTACATTGTACCTTTGTGTGACCAAACCGACAGCAATGATAACACTGTATCGTAGGGTATATATATAGGTCAACATTTAAAGCATTATAACACAAGTACACTCTCTTAGGAAGTATCTGTCCATCAAAAGTAATAATTACAGTTTGTGAAGGTTTCCATGTTGGGCTCCCATCAATAAAAGTTTTGAAGTTCATGCGTCTGACTTTCATTATAGCCCCACATCCTAAAGGTACTGAAATATTAGCCATGACCTCTTCAGGTGACCATTCAGCTGGAACACCTCTTACTAACCCCATTCGGGTGACATTAAAAGTTGGTATATATGCTCGGTAATTATTTACTTGAAGAGCTTTATCATTAAGAAAAGAGTTTGCATCTTTAAAATTAGTAAAACTAATTGAAATTTTATTCCTGCCAATTTTCTTAACACTGCCGTTGATAATATTTGGAAATTAATTATTTTTTAAAAAATTGCCGAACTTAACTGGATGTATTGATGTCTTGTCATCTGCTGATAATACTATTTTTTGTACATGTAATATAAAAGGTGAAACATCTGACTCGCAATAAGCTTTCCTACCGATAGGAGTTGATGAATTAGCTACTGAAGGAGGGATGATTGAATCCTGTATTACAGATTTAGGTGGTGGAGGAAGGTCTAGAAAAGTATTATTGTTACCAGATGAAATTTCAGTGCAAGAACAATCTGTTGGTTTCGGTTCAGAACCGTGATGCCGCCTTCTTTTTTTGTTACAGGTTTTGCATACATTGGAGCGACGGCTCCTTTTTAAAGTGGATCTATTCGATGTAGATGCATCCGTATCCATCCCTGACTCGGAACAAACCGTAACATAGCTACCTGCCGGGGGGACGAATCCCCCCGGGTCGTCGGGGGGCTCGCTCATAAAAATAATTAAAAAAACTTACCTAATATCTGCAGCTAAGCACTAATTCTAATATATACACAAATATATATATGTAAATACACAAAAATACCCTTCTAATGGACTAACTTAATAATTAATTTTAATTATTTTACGCCACTAAAAAAAACACGCCTAACAATTTCAACGTTTCCCGCGCTTTTTTCTTGTTCTTTGAAAAGAGATGGACTTCTCTAGGAATGACATTATTAATAAGATGCGTTCAAAAATAACATAATTTAAACTGCGTTCTTAAAAAATAATGACATACTTTAGAGAGGATTATCTTTCTTTTCCCAGCTTTTAAAAATAAATTGTTGGTATATAATAATTACATTCAACTTATACTACATTTTGGTGATAGTTCCATCTTGGTACAAGAACTTTTTTTTCGTAGTCCAGTTTGACCATTGTTCTTTAATTAGTTCGAGTTATGCAAATGCAACTTGATTAAAACGAAGTAATCTTTGAATAAATGTCTTTTTTATTTGTATGGAGGAAAACGGAAACTAACATAATGGAAGTGAGCACGGAGATTTTTTAAAAATTTATGAAAATCAATTGAATGAATGCTGTGATATAATTAAAAGTGGCCTTTAGCTTAGGTATAGAATAATATTACCGCCAAATAGTTTTTATAAATTAAATAGTTATGCCATAGTAGGTCACGGAATTTTTTATTATAATATTTAACAAAAATTCTGAAAACAATAACAACTAATAGCAATAAAACTAACTTACCTAGTTAGTTTTATTGCTATTAGTTGTTTATTGAACTTACGACAACAAAACTATATCAAGTCTCAATAATATTTTTATATTATGTATGGTGAATGAATTAATAGGGATTATTAATCATCGATAAAAGTCATAAAAACGACAATTATAATAAAACATCCGTTTATAATGTATATACTTACCTGATATGTATCAAATATACCTACTATTTAGGGTTGGAACTCACCTGTGACACCAATTTCCATCGTTAGATATTCACATTTTCGACGAATTTTGGGAATATGGTAAAAATGTAGCAGCAGGGGGTCTACGAAAAAAAATTGTGTGTGAACCTTTGGCTACTATTGCTAATACTGTATATTGGTGTTACACTATTGCTATTGATCTTGTATGTCGATGGCGGACGTCGGCCATGTGTTAAGTTAATTCGTACGATGGGTATGTGCTTTTTGGTTCTTATAATAATATTGTTAATAATAGATTGACTTCCTACACAACCTACTCTAGAAATCAGTTTTATTGAAATATATTATTTACTTAATACCTAGAGAAGTCATGCTATCTTAAAAATCTCTGCGATGGTGTCGTGTGCGTTAGATCGTTACGTTCCCTAAATATAGTATATTTGAGTTGTTTAGTTGAAATTAATAAAGCAGCCCTTGCTGAGTTTCTTGCCTATTCTTGTCAATACAAGATCTCCCGCCTTAGTTTTGCGAACCATTGGCAAAGTTTTCGACTTTCACAAGTGCTATGTAACAGCCTAGACTGAATTGATTTTGATATTTATATTAATATCATTTGTTTTGTGAATGCATAATGATGACACATACAAATACAAGCTGAATTCTGCGCTCCGCTTTTTGTTCTCCACTCCAAACCTGAATTCGGATGAAAGTTACGAGCAACCAATAAGTTGGCTCATTGGCACTAATGTTGACGTATCTAACAAACATCGTTCCTTTACACGTAACATAATAAACAACTTAAACTTACGATTGAAATAAATTAAATTAATTTGAAAGCGAGATATTATAAGAAACACAAAACGATGTTATATTTATTTTTTTCGATACTCATTTACTTTTATTACATCAGAAACAAAATTTGAATGAATATCATAAACAAAATCCAAACATCGCGAGTGACATCTAGTATGATTTCAAGAACAAATTTTTATTTTTAAAATTTTCCTCTTTTCAAGAGGCACTTACCCATAGTAAGGGTGGTGTTATAAGAGTAGTAAGGTACCGTTAGATTAGAGATGAAACGATACCACCTATATATTTTTATTATTATTATTTTATTTTTTTTGTGTAAAATGAATATGAAAGATGGCGATGATTTTTCATAAATTAATCCTGGCGATGATCCAATGGACCTTAAAGCAAGATGTCAAACGAGGTAACAATAGGGATGCAAGGTTTCTCTTAAAAATCGATTTAAATCAATGTTGATATTTTGTTAGTCAGTATCTATTTTTTTTTAAATTAATCGGTAATCCGATAAATCGTTACATTGCATCCTTAGCTGTCAGTGTCAAACACAAGGCAAAATAGTAAAATGTGGGTTTCTTAAATTGTAATGTTATCGATCGAGAATATGTAAAAACCATTTTTTTTGTATTATTCTAAATGCTTATTTGAATTTTAAAATCATCGTCTTTATTCCGTTTATAGTTTTTATTATTAAGATATTTGTTAAAGCTATCTAGTTTCTCAATTTCTAATAAGAAATGTCTGCGTGGCTTGAATGTAGTATTTCTGAGGAAATAATAAAAAACAAAGAAATATTCAGTGATACGCCGAGTATTATTTCTGGTAAGTTAAACCTGCTTACAAGCTCGTGGGACCTCGTTATTGACATGTAGAAACATAATGTCTTTATCAACAACAATGATTAAATAATTAAATAGTTGTTACTGAACATTAAATAAAAAATTTATTGTAATAATTTCAGACATAATGGCTGGGCATCTTGATATTACAAATCTAGTGGAGAATATGGCAGGGGTTTTGACAAATGAAGAAGTGGAGAACCGTGAGCAAGGAATGAAATTTTTTACAAAAATTCTTAAAGAGCTTCCCCCTGACTATTTAAACGAAACTCAAGTAAAATTTATCTCAAGGTTTTATATAGATCGTTTAAAAGATAACCACAGAATCATACCATCAGTGCTAGAGGGATATTTAGCAATAATTGACATGAAACATTACAGCACGGCACTCAATGGGGAATTTTTCACAGTACTATTTAGAGAAGTTCCATGTCAGTCACAAGTGAGACAAGATCGATATAATATTTATAGGATCCTAAATTTACTAAATAAAAATCCTGAATGTGAGTATTATTACTTTAATAATAAAATAGGAGGGTAACTTATGAATTATGTTTCATATTAATGTAGATTATTACTATAATCATCATTGAACAGGTCACTATTTATTGTCCCATGAGTAATTATCATCAAGGGTATGCATGACATGCTATGTCAGGCATGACAGTTTACATTTTTTAGTTTTCAATCAAGTGAAAACAATTCAATTCAAGGTGTAGGTATATACATATGTAATTTTGTTGGAATGGCGTAATATTCATATATGTTGATCTGTATGGGGTACTAAACACATGTGAAATTTTTTATAGATGTAGTATTAATGTATGGATGTATGCTTGTCCATATATCTCGCAAACTAGATGTTAGATTTATTGCTTAGCTTTCAACTTAGGGTACACTACAAGTTTCATCAAAATCGGTTCAGTTGTTTTGAAGATATAAACTATTAAAATTTAAGCCACTTATAAAAGGAGCAAAAAATTAACAAACTTATATAAGAAGTAAAAATTGATGGCCTTCTTTTTAACCAACTTTAAAAAAAGGAGGCCATTGGCTTACCTGTGTATGTACTTCATAAACAGACTTTTGACCTGTATGTTTTTAACCAATCTTAAAAAAATTTGGTTATCAATTTGATCTGTATATAGATGTCTAGCTATTAAATAACGAGTTTGGTTACGAAATGGTTTTATTATAAAAATGATTCTACATTCAAATAATCTAAATATATATAACTCGAAGGTGACTGACTGACATAGTGATCTATCAATGCACAGCCCAAACCACTGGACGGATCGAACTGAAATTTGGCATGCAGGCAGATGTTATGATGTAGAAAGGATTTTGATCAATTCTATCCCCAAGGGGATGAATGTTTGTATGAAACTGTCAATTTTAAAACGATCGGGGTGAAACTTTGCATGCATAAAGCTACTATGACTTAGCCATCCCCTAAGAAAGGATTTTTATCAATTCTTTCCCCAAGGGGATAAATTAGGGGATGAAAGTTTGTATGAAACTTTGTCAATTTTAAACCGATCGGGCTCAGACTTTGCATGCATAAAGCTACTATGACGTAGGCATCCCCTAAGAATCTTGATTAATGAAACTTTATTTCAGATATTTCACACGATATTATGAATAAATATTCATTAGAAATGCTGCTAAAGTAACATTACCATGCAGACGAAGTCGCGGGCAAAAGCTAGTGCTTCAATATACCTCTTCAATATACACCCTTCCTCTAGCCACACACCTTTCCATACGTTCGCCTTTAATCAAGCAGTGCTAGAAGGCTTCTCTGGTAAGGACCATTAGGAGTTCTGATGTTTTTTTACTTTACCGCTTCCGTCAACTTAAATGAAGTTTCCTTTCAAAGCAGATTTTATCTTCAGAAACTAAAAAAAGTCACACGGTTCCAAATCTGTTGAGTACGGCACGTGTCTGAGCACTGGTGTGCGTTTATCGGCCAAATAGTGCTACACAGATAGCGCGTTATGGGCAGGTGCATTGTCCTGTTGCAAAATCCACGAGTAGTTCTTCCACAACTCGGGGCGTTTCTTACGAATTCGACCTCGGCAATCATCTGAATGCTCATTTGACAATTTGCACGGACAATTCGGTTGATTTTGTAACTCTCACAGTTTCTGGAGTTGTAACAGTGGTAGGGCGACCTGGGCGCTGGTCATCTTCAGTGCTCTCTCAGCCTTCACTGAAGCGCTTACACCACTCAAAAACATACGCATGAGATAAAAAATTGACCTCTTGCAATTATTTACAGCACTCTGAGTTTTTCGCCCTCTAAGCGCGCCGTCTGGTTATAGCCAGACGTCGTATGTAATTTTGTTGGAATCAATATTTCTCTTAGTCTATATCCGTTTCTCAACATGTGTGCTACATTTTGTAGGTGTGTCTATATGTTTGACAACATATTTGTCGTAAATTATACATTGGTTTGAAATTATACTTTTTGTTTGATTAAATATTTTTCAACAACATAAAAAATTTACTAAGTGACTTATGAAAGGAACTGTTACCAGAATAGTAATTAACCTAGGTTAGGTTAGAACTACGACCCCAATAAAAATGAATCGCTTCAAGACTGTATTGTTATGTTAGAACTAGTACCATCACAAAAAAAGTGTATCCGGTAAATAGAAGTATATTTAAATACAGACGAAGTTATATATTTATTATAAGTTAGAAGTAAGTAATATGGATCAGTAAAAATAACTATTATTAAAAAAATAAAGAAGTAGTACATCAATTATAAAATCTTAAACGACTTCAAAAGAAATCGTAATAAAAAGAAACGAATGAAGAGATGAATAATATCACAAATTTTTTATCATCAATAAAATCGAAACACAAAAAGTGGATACATTAAACAATTTTTTTTGAGGTCGGTGCCACATATTTATAAGAAATATATCGATCGAAATTGCTCATTGGCGAAAATATTGTTCACAACGTGTTGTGGCATTTCAGAATGCCCACATAGTGAAATTCGTGTTATGTATCTAATGGAAACCCTCACGATGCGTTGTGGCAATCGCAGATTAACCATATAGGTAGTGAAATCCGTGTTTTGGCTAACATGCTATTCGACCGTTGTGGCAATAAATAAAAGCAAAATTCAGAATATGTCATCTGAGCATTAATTGGTTAAAGTAGCTTTCTTTTTACAATAGCAATTCGCTTCTGGCGCTTCGCCGGCTGCTACCGCGGTGCGATGGCTTTGCTTGGTTAGCTCGTTTGTTGTTAGTCATACCCTTATCCAGGGGTCGGCAGACTTACCAATTGTAGATTTTCCCGTACCTACAAAGAGCCGCTACATGAATTTTATAAGTCTAATAATGAGAGTAATCAATATCTTTTCAATTAATTGCCTTCTTGTTTTTCAATATCGGTAGTAAATAACTTTATGCAATCATTAGTGTAATATGTCAAATTAAAATGGCTTTATTATGGCTTATTAAATAGTTATATTGGAGCATTCTGATTGGCATGTTTGAAATGCAAGTATGTGCATATCTATAATATATAATCTTTTATATAATTGGTCTAATATTTCGCCTGTTTCGTCGTTTCGGATGAAAAGTGGGGCAAGACTGGCGATATCGGTTCTCCTACAAAGGATGCACGATCGCCTTTCTAACCTCTTTTCTGCGTTCTGTGGTTGTATGGTTATAATGAACGCTTGACGTTGTTATCTTTCACAAATTGCTTGAAAAGCTCCTTTTATGGCGATCGATAATGCAATTATTAGGACTGCAGCGTATAGAAATATAGTATAACGTGTTCTAATATATATTAGATATAAAGCTGGTACATTTACAGTTTTAAAACATGTGGGAAATTAAAAAGAAAAAAAACTTAAAGACATTTATTAAATTATAACACTCTCATTAATTATATTTTAGTTTTAGTTGGAACGGTGTAAAAGCTTGCCTATGTCTGACAAGTAATTACTCGTTGTTAATTTAAGGCACGACTGTAAATTGTCGTCGGTTTATTTGTCTTAATTTACTTTTAATTTGATTCTTTACTGTGACCACAACGCGTTATGAACAATTTTTTCGTATTTTGAACGTAACGTATTCACTTTTTGTGTTTCGATTTTATACAAGACTACTTACATTATGTACTTTAAGCCTATTTAGAGCTATAAAACTATCCTGTCTTTTCCCAAGTTCCACCCCGTGTACCAAATTTCATTCAAATTGGTAAAAAAGTAACGCACGCAAACTCACAAATACACACACACACACACTCACGAACATAGTTCGCATTTATATTAGTATGAATTTATTGTTTTTCAATCGCTCAATACGCAAAAATAGGCATATTTTGTTTTCTAAACAAAGACTCATTTTTTGATAAAATATTAAAAGAAAAATGACAAAATAAGCTGTAGCACACTCGAGAGACTTAACATGGTGCCCATGGTTAACTGTGAGTTATTATTCTCTGAGCAAATGTCTCAGACTCACGAGTATACTGTTAGCAAGTATATTGGTAACATGTTCATTGTGCGGTCAGTACACAGCAGGTCTTGCGGATGCTGACTCGATGTGGCAGTTGCTAGATATCACAGTTTCACAGTTATAGCAATGGACTTTATCTAATTAAATACCGAGTTAAAGTTTTTTTTAGTCTCCTCACACAACTTTTTTTATTTGCAGATCTAAAGACTCTAGGACCAGATTTCTTATATGGATTTATATCAGCTATGGACGGGGAAAGAGATCCTCGTAACCTGTTGTTTCTGTTCAGTTTCCTGCCAACATTCCTCAAGCATATAACATTAGGCCACCTGGTCGAGGAAACTTTTGAAGTGATTTCTTGTTACTTTCCAATTGATTTCCATCCGTCTCCTGATGATCCCGCACCTGTAACAAGGCAGGACTTAGCGAATGCCCTGTGTCCCTGCCTGTGTGCAGTGGCAGAATTTGGGGAACAATGTTTAGTTTTATTAATAGAAAAGTTGGATTCTAGCTTAAGAATAGCTAAACTTGATTCCTTAGCTCTTTTGGTAAGAACGATTTACTTTAAGTTTGGTATAGAAATTTGGCAAAGGATAAAAAGATACAAAAATACTTTTCTGTTTCCAGAAAGAAAGTTGTAAGACGTTTTCTGCTCAAACATATGGACCATTTCTGAAGACTTTATGGTCTTCGATGAATAGGGAGATATCTCACAAAACAGACGAAGAACTCAAAATGCTCGCTCATGAATCTCTGTCGGCATTAGTTTCGAAATTGGCGACTACAGCAAATACAGATCAGGCTTTCGAGAATTTTGTAAAAGGTGTACTGATATCTATGCAGACAGCTATCGCTGAGTCCACGACTGTTGCTAAGTTTACACAGGCGGCTAAAGTTCTCCTGACAACAGCAAACGCTTCAAAAGAGTCCTGTGTTATTATAACAAAATCTATGATCCCTGCAATTGTAGCATACTATGAATTTAAACCATCCACAAAATTACAAATAGCAAGCATAGACTTTCTTGGAGACTTGTATGATATGGCAAAACATTGGGGAGCTCTTGACGAAATTCAATCACAAGCAATCGAAATACCAAAATTGTGTCTCATTGCAGTCAGCAACCCTTCCAAAGAGTATCAAATAGCGGGCTTTAAAAATATAATTAGAACAAAAGATTTGTTACAAAGTGACTTAGTATTGCCATTTATTGAAGTTCTTATACATAATGTCCAGCATTCACAAGACGAAAATTTATTGAGTATCAGTGTAACAACTGTTCATACAATAGCTAGGAAATATCCTGAAATGGTAATGGATATAGTAGTGAAGGGAAAATGTGATTTAGACAATTTAATTGACGACAAAACCGCTCTACAGAAACGACTGAATTTACTCACCAATTTGGCTAGTATTGATGAATTTACCAAAGTTATAATTAGTGAAATGCTTAAAATAATTAGGACACATGATGAAGATGCTCCGAAGGTAATAGAAGCGTTAAATAGTTCTATGTCTGATATTTCTCTGTATACAGAGAATAAGTTATCTGAAATCGAGAGTGATCATGGCTTGATAGATTCTATCTTAGGTTGGATATTGAAGGAATTGCATACAGGTTCTGAAGAATCATTATCGCATGGTTATAAACTTATTGCGACCACAATGAGCAGTTTGCCAGCAGAAAAACAAGAACGAATACTTTCTAAGTATGCCGATGTTCTAGAAAAATGTCAGAAAGACGAGGCATACTTTAATATTTTGGAATGTTTATATCGCTCGCTTCGTCAAAGTATATATAATCCAAATTTTGAACGTATAATGCATTTGTCTATAGATGTAGCTTTAAAAAGTGATGATAAGGCAATAAGGACTAAAGCTTGTGTGGTGATAGCTCATTTAATTAACAAAGTAGGGCACGGTCAGAAGTTTGAATTGTTGTATGAGACTTTGACAAATTGCCTATTGAATTATGAAAGTGAGGAAGAAACACTTCTTCAAAGGCTGATTCTGTTATACGGATGGTTAACCAAGGCTTTAATTATGAGGGGAAGTGATAAATTTTTATGTTGGTTGCAAAAGGTAAATATTTAAATGATAAATCATATTTTGTAAATAGGATTATAAAATTTTATAATTTAATTTGTGTTTGTGGCTAAAAATTTGTGACTTGAATCATAATCTGGAAATGGTTTGTTAATAAAAGAAAGTATGTCATTAGTAATAATGGCACCTAGCTAATTATAATTTGTAATCATACAGGTTGCTCCAAAACGTGATGACCGAAATACTTTTTTTTTTTATTCCTAACTTTTACTTTTGTAGTTTTCAAAGAACTACATAAGTTTATTAAACGTTTTGAAATTTTTCAACTAAAGGCCTCTAATATTTTTTTTACATGTTAGAACTTGTGATAAAATTCTAAACGTCTAAAGGTGTGTTTCGTAGGTTGCGGCAGACGACGGCATTACCGTGTAATATTAATTTATATGAGACCGATTCCGAGATATGATGGCAATTGATGCCCTACGGAATTGTTGCCAACATTATGCCATTGGTGTCTGCCGCGAGCTGCGGGATCGCATCTAGAGCGTCACTCGAAATTATAAAATTGTAGAAATAAAATCATAACTCGAAAACTATAAAGAAACGTTTAATGTGCATGTGGTATTATTATTATTTTTATGATTCCCAGATGTCAGAGAAAAAAATGCTGTAATCTTTTGGACCATCCTGTAGTGCAATATTGCAACATAAATCCATTAATGTTATTTCCAGATCATAGCTGCGCTGTCGTCACCAGTATACTGCAAGTTGGCTGCCGAAGCGATACGTTTAATAATGTTTGTCCATCCGGACGCGTTGAACAGGACATTTTATCCTATAGAAACACTTTTATACAAACAGCGTATGTACGAAAACTTTACTTCATTGACACAGAATTTTGTGCCAGCCAGTGAGGATGTGAAAGAGGCTTTCTACGTTAGTTGGGCGTTTGTACTTGAAAATTTGTCGAAGAATATAGTCAGCAGAGAAGCTTTGAAGGTAAGTTAAATTCGTTTGTTCAGATTTTATATAACATTGTCTTTTCCTTTTTTTTTTAATTTAAATGTCACACAGTTTGCTAGTCTCTTTTCTTTTATCAATTTGGTTTCCGCTGTCTCTTGTATCTTGTGTATTTGTACGTATTTTTTAATATATAATTTTCTGTCGCTAATTTGTCATTTAATTTGATTTATTAATCACGACTATGTAAAATGAGCTCAATAATGATTTACTGTGTCGGATACGATACAAGACTCGCTAAATTGCTAATACGCTAATATATTTAAAAATTCCAGATTAGATAGCACAAAATGCAAGAGATAAATTATTTATTAATTTATTAATTTTTGGAAAAAGTCAATTCGTATCTTAATAATGAGGACATTCACTTTGTAATAACACGAAAACAAACGTAAAGGACATATTTTTTAAACATAGCCTAAAGTAATAAAAAATTGAGACATTAGATATATTTATTTTTATTTAAGTTAGCTTTACTTCTTGTGAAAATCATAATAGCAGTTGCTATGTTAGTCAACCATAACAAGTAACAACAAAACTTAACAAGGGGTCATCCATAAATTATGTCACACTTTAGGAGGGGGGGGGGGAATGAACTGACATTAGAACAATATTTAGTAGCATTTGTATAGACAAACATGTGACAGGAGGGGGGGGGGGGGGGGGGGTTAAAATAATCATGAATTTTGTGTTACGCAATTTATGGACGGCCCCCAATAACAATCGAATACAACAAAAACAGAACAAAAATTGTTTGTGATCTCAACACAAACCTACTCAAAACATCACCAAAATGGCGGCCAGTCGCATTAGCAATTTGCGGGGATTATATAAGAGCAACTTGGTAATGTATGGGATGGTGTTGAGTGTTTATATATTTGTTTCAGATACTCCCCATAGTGATAGAATCATTGGATTATGATAATAAAGAGATGCTATTAGTGATGACTGATCTTCTGTGCTACTATATAGAATATCAGCCTCTCGTGGTGGCTGGAAGCTTGCAGTCCGCGATACCAAGGCTGGCGAAACTGACTAGATACCCTAAGTCTATGGTAAAAAGGTTGAATATTATTAGAAGTCGAGTGGTTCGCACACCGGCTTGAAGTTGTCGCCATATCTGAGGTCCCTGGTGCGATTGTCGGTAGGGTCAATGTAGAAAATGGCCTTTTCTATATTGTCTCGGGTCTGGGTCTTGTGGTACCTTTGTTGTCTCAGATGCTCCGTAATACGGGGACTTTAACTGCTCATCTTGGATCTGAACAATGTGTGTGATGTTGTCTAATCTTAATTTATTAATCTTAAAAATACTCGCCAAAAGGGCAGGGTTGCCAATCGTGGACCCGGCGGGGTCCTTTCGGATTCCGGGTTCTTTTGCCCTGGAGGGTACTCGCAGCGGGCACTTTTCAGGACGAGTGTGGGGTCGCAGAGTCATGGTTTAAGGCTTAAGGTTAAAGGGTTGCCAATAGTACTAAAAATAGCATATTCAACTCTATTTTATGTAGGCGTACTCTTGTGTGTTATCTATACTAATATTATAAAAAGGAATTTGATTCTTTGTTCGCAACAAATGGGCTCCGAAACTACTGGACCGATTTTTTAAATTCTCTCACCTACGGGTAGTTACATTATACTTGGTTCACATAGGCTATAATTTACGCGTGCGAAGTGGCGGGAAAACAGCGAGTAATGTATATAACACCTATGTAGGAAGTAAAATACTTTTATGAGCCTAAATGTCTAAATGTCTAATTTAGAATTTTTAACAGCTATTGAGAAGTGTAAAATGTGAGAGTTGAACGTCAACCATTCGTTCGAAAAGCGTAACGTAATCTTAGAAATGGCTATCACAATTGCTAGAGCTTTAACAGGGATCGAGATTGATTTTATAATAAGACAAGTAGCCCACTGGTTTGAAACTTCATCACCATCAGCCCTTTTACTTCTCCACTGCAGGGGCTCAGACCTTCCTTTATGGATGGTTAAGGAGCATACTCCTTAACCATCCATAAAGAGAGCCCATAGGCTCTCTCGAAATTATACTCCACGCTGGCTTGGTGGGTATTAACGACTGCAAACGCAGCTGGGAACAACGATTTAACGTGCCTTCCGAAGCACCGAGTAGCTCGAGATAATATTTTTTTTTGGTCACCCATCCCGTGACCGACCCTTGCTAAAGTTGCTCAACAACAACGATCGCGGGCCGTGGCCAGTGTTGCCAGATGCCTTAAACCTATTACCTGTAGTAGGAACCGCTAAAATCTGTATATTTTTCTAACTTTAAAATCTGTAATAAGTCTGAATGTTCAAAGAAATCAAAACACATTTTCTGATCATAATCATCATTGTTTCTCTAGAAATATAAGGGTTAAGTAAGTAAGAAAAATGTTTAAAAAATCCACCAACCCCGGGTACTCTGAGATGGGACTCGAACCCACGGCCTTTCGTAATTCGGGCGACTGCTTTAACTACCGAGGTACTCAGGACCTAACATTACTGACGAATTTTTCAAGTACTTGTTAGTTACTTTTTGCTGCTACACTAGCGGTTATTCATAAACGTTCAGGCAATTCGTCTTGTCAAGCGAAACTCTGTATAAAAATCTATATCCACTGGCCTGGCAACACTGGCCGCGGAGCTCATTCGCTTCCCAACCGAGATACACTTGAAACTTGCTAATAAATAATAATTATTTTCAGTATGTACGGGTGAATAGCCTTCAATGCTTCTCCGAAATAGCCAAAAGTTATAGCACGGTGCTGCTTCTACCTTACAAGCAAGATGTGCTAGCGGAATTAGCGCCATCTCTCGACGATAGTAAGAGATTCGTGCGTTGTTATGCTGTCGCAGCGCGTACTCGTTGGTTCTTAGTAGGAGCACCAGGAGAACCTAAAGAAAATTGAATTGTTGCTATCAATAAAAAAGTAGTGATCACACCGAAAATGTTGCCTTATTTTTTTTTTGTATTAGACTATGTCGTTTATTTTATTAGACTTCAGCTTGATTATTTTCCTTAATTATGTTTCTGAATACTTAATCAGAATAATCTACACGGATCTGATAGATCTAAGCTTTATCCTTAGATTTCAATTCTACCTCTATTCACTGGCAGCAAATTTCTGTAATAAATTTCTATTACTATTGTTAAATGTACACACACAGTACGTGGGTTACCAATATATTTTTTAAAATGTTTTTTTAACATTTCAAGGTTTAAAGTCGATTGGCAAACTTTGACATTTTTGTATAACCTCACGTGCTGTTGGTTGTACACTATTCTGACCCTTTCTTGCTCATAGAGAAAGAAGGCGATAACACAATTTAATATTTTCAAAGTAACTGGTATTGTTTAAGCTTGTGTTGTTTATTTATGTGAATATGAAATTTATATGTTGCTATGTATGTTGATTGCTGTATTAAACTTAATAATATTATTTTTGAAACTACATTTTTTTGCTTTCCTTTACACTTTGAGGCTTCTCTACCCTTTGATCTTTCAGTGGTCCGGTCCACTGTGTAGGTCCTTAATAGGTGAAAATATTATATATTATCAATTATAATATTAGTTAAATTAATTACGAAAAAAAATTTAATACTCGTTGTCACATGAGTGCAAACAGGGCGTGACGTCACACCCCTTTTACTCATATTTGAAATTGCAGAATTTGAGCTAAAAGTAGGTTTCCATAAGAGCCATAACACGAACTTCGCTATGTGGATATTTTACTGTGCCCACAGCGCGTTGTGAACTATTTTTTCGCTCAATGAATGATTTCGATCTTTGAGCGTAACACATACATAGATCGGTATTAGTCTTAGAGGGCCGTGACGTCACAGCGACGTCATGATGTAAGTTAGGGTTTTCGCGGGAAATTGTGAACATTTAATTTATTTTTAGATTTCAAGTTATTGTATGAATGGAAAAGAAATAGAAAGCGTTTATTTGGCACAAAATACAAAGTAACATAATATTACATAACAAAAAAATGATATATTTCATGTATGTAAAATTTTAAATATGAAAAAAGTTGTCTACGCCGCTATTTACGCTAAAGATGTATCGAATCATAACATATGACAAATTTTTTAATGTTCATATTACAGAACTGATTGATACAAACTCAAAGTAAATTAACTCTATAATGTAACAATAGGGAATAAGCATATTTTTGGAAAATGATTTTATATGATAATTTACATCGATATATAACTGTAAAAAAACCCGGCACCGATAAACTAAAGTTTTGTAACATTAATCATTGATTAAAATAAGTAATAGCTACGTGCAATTAAAACAACGGAATTTTTGGCGCGCTCGTCGTGACGTCAAAGTACCCGACATTTTAAATCAATATGGATTTTGAGTGATTGATTATTATTCAATTACCCTAATCGATTTTTTAAAGTATAATAGACTTTTTTAATCAATCATATAATTTACCAAATCGGTGAAATAAAAATAAAAGCTTAAAACATCATTTAAATTGTAATCAGTTGTTTATTTTGCGATATAATACATTGTGTTATTGCATCGATGTTAACTTTTTGTAACAACGACATCCCTATACGTGTACATTTTCGTCACATCCGCTCTGACAAGTAGCATTGCATTTAAATATTTTGAAGTTACCGCATTTATTTTGCATTTTTTAATAATTATTTTCAAGACGAAAACGAACTAATGTTGAAAAATATTTAGATAGACTTTATTCTGGCTAATGTCTATGCGTTTTTAACGCTATTGCGCTATTCTCAGGGCCGATCCGCTCATATAGACAAATTAGGCAACTGCTTAGGGCGCTCGTATTTGGACAGCGGCATGGCAAACAGATAATGTTTGTATCTTAAAAAAAAACATATTCACACCAAGGTTTCTTTTGCCATTGTCAAAATTACACTCTTGTTTCGGTGTACGTATCTTATTTTAACAATAAAAAACACTTAAAAAAAGACCGAACTAAAAATTAAGTAAAGTTGTGAGTGATACTGGGTTGGTACTGCAAAAAAGAAGTTATCGTAAATCTTTACGAAGGAGTTTGTATAAAGAAAATGTAAAGTGCCCGCAGTCCATTCCGTTTGATTCTAATATGATAGATTTATCTAAATAAGGCCCGTCTTAAGCACAACAGGCGCTCGGGTGCAAGCTATGTTCTGGCGCACCCTTCTCCCCATTACAGGGAAAAGGTTTTGAAAAAAATGTTTTTCACATTTATATTAAAAAAAAAACAATAATTGGTGGTGCAATGGCGGTGGATATATCATAAGACTCGTTCAGCATTAGCGGTTGAAAATATAAAAATTATTGAAAAAAAAATTACAACTTTGGCGCATTACCGAAGTCATCGATGAGTAGGTACTACAAGATTAGACCATTATCGGTGCGGCGCCCCTCAACGCGCGGCGCCCGGGTGCATTGCACCTCTGAACCATGGGTAAAGACGGGCCTGATAATAGCTGTTGTACCTATGTAAAAACGAAAATAGGACGCAAAATAACTAAAATTACCTAGGTATATCCTGTATTAGATTATAGCGTTTTAAGTATTTTTTCCTGTGGATATACTTGTTATTAGATTAAATTAAAGTTTAAATAACTGAAAGTAAAGAGTTGCGGACAGTAGGTACCGTAATAAATCCGTCGGATTATACAGGCATTGTTCGGGCGTGTCTAGGATTACTCGGACAAATCTCTGCCTACTAATAATTTGATTTAAATTTGCATAATCTCTTATCGCAATGCGAACGTTTGCCTCACTTTAAATGTTAATGAGGGGACGTCCTAGTTGGTTTTTATGGCTCCTTAGCATTGAGTGCGTTCTTCAAGGGTTGTTTGTCAACGGATCGCCTCTGTTGGTGTGTATAAGCGTTTCTTTTCTTTATATTTTGTAAGGATTCTTTGTAGATTATCTAAAGTCTTCAGAAACTGAGATGAAGGGTGAGCCTAGACTGAGAGCAGCTTTGGTAGGGAACAATTATCTTTGTCTGATTTTAATTTTGAGTTTTGTCTACAAGTATTAGGTTGGGATTGGAAAAAAGTATTTTTGCATATAGTATGTATAGTCTTGTAATAAAATCTTTCTGGCCATTTGGCTGGTTTCGGTATCAAAAGTTTAAATTTTAAAGAAGATTCGAGAATTCAAAGTAGGAAAATGTGTGATTTTTATTAGTTTTTCTTAATCAAGTCAAATCAAAATTATTTGTTTAGTCTAGGCTGTTACAAGCACTTGTGAAAGTCGAGGGTTACGCCAACGGTTCGTAAATCTACGGCGGGAGACCTTGTACCGCGAAGAACCGGCAAGAAACTCGGCTGCTTTTTTCTCGCTGTTTTATTTCATACAGCGCGTCAAGATTGAAAAATGACTTCATTAAAATATGAAGTCACTTTCCATTATAATATTAGAAAATATAAAAATAAAACAGTATTTACGTCAATCGAATCACATGTCTAGTCAAACAAGCTCACCGATAAATAATTTAATATACATAAAAATAAGCCATATTTAACACCAAGCAGTTTTGTCGTTTAAGTATTCATTAACAGTATAATATATTTTACGGAGTAGATGATTCTTAATATGAGTTTTAAATTTAGGCAATGGTAAATTTAAAATTTCCATAGGAGTTTTGCTAAAGTAGTGGATACCTTGACCCATAAATGTTGATAGAACCTTTAGCCTGCATGACGGCAAAAATAGTTTATCTTTGTTTCTAGTATTAAAACTGTGTACATGATTATGTTTGATGTAATTGTGATGTTTGACGTAAATGTACAACAAAATTTGAAAATAAATCAATTAGATATACCACAGCATTCTTAAAGGGTACAATTGAAGAAGAAGTTTACATTAAATGTCACAAAGGATTAAAATTATAAGTCCCTTCCCTTGAGATTTAAAAAAGGCTTAATATAGTGTTAATAATGCACCAAAGTGCTGGAGTAAATGCTTTCGTGATTTCATAATGAGACATGGATTAGAACAATTAAAATATGATGTCATTTATGGTTTTGTAGTGACTGATTTATGTTGATGACATTATTATTCTAGAAAATGAAATGGATAAATTAGAGGATTGGACAAAAGAATTTAATGTAAATATCTTGATGAGATAAAGAACTACTTAGGTATGGAAATTACTAGAAAAGCAGATATCTTAAAAATCAAACAAAAGGAAATTATAAACAAGATTTTTGTCAAAATTTAGGATGTAAGAAAAAAACACCAATGGCTACAAATTTCTGTGCATCAAATGAAAAACATTTAATTGATGTTCCATTCACAGAACTGATTGGCAGTGGCACAGGAAAACAAACTTCAGTAGCTCTTTCTACAGCAGAATCTGAATATTTAGCCGCAGCTCAAACAGTAAATGAGTTAATTCATCTCGTGGGATTAATATCGGAATTTACCGAACTAAATGTTAATGCCAAACTATTCATTGATAATCGGAGTACTATTAATTTGATTGAAAATTGTGATAATGTAAAACCGATCAAAACATATTGGTGTCAAAGTTCATTTTATAAAGGATGTAATTAATAAAAAGTTAATTATAGTTCATTATGAACTTAGAACAAAATATAAAGCTGATGTTTTTACAAAAGTCCTACTTATTGATAAACATTTATACTTCTGCTGTCGCAGTGACGAGGTCTTAAGTTTCTGAAAGACTACCGTGTTTCCCTTTCCCGCCAAGACGTATCTCAGCGCGCTTTCTGACACTATGGCTAACGGACAATATAAAAAGGAGTGTTTTTGCTCATCGACACCAAAGAAGCGACTACGGTAAAATAATTAAAATATAAAAACTAAAATATATATAAATAACTAAAACATATTCATAGTTTAGTCCCACTGTATTATTTTTCTCTTTAATAATTTGTTTATTCTGTATTGTTATGTAATGATAATGTTCTGATTATTATGTATATCATGTAGAAA